CAATACCTACCTGCTGAGGAGCATAGATGAGGAACTCATGGATGACTTGGATCAAGAAGTCAGGGTTCATCTGGTAGAAGTACTGGACTCCTAATGGCAGAGACTGGAACCCAAACACAGGAATATTTTGTATCAACCAGTAAGACAACAAATGGTTTTCAGTATGGAGGAGATGACAACACCTCTCTTATTAAAATTAAGAATTTGTAAGTCACCATGACAATGAGGAGTAAATAACAAATTTGATATTCTGCTGTGAATGTTTTCAGTGTAACTTTGTGAGCAAAAAAGTAATTTACCAGCCTGGTTTTCTTTATTTACTTTATTTTCTGTTTGCAGACCACCTGGAGTTCGGCCTTACCTCCAGTCCTGAAAAGTGGTTCTCTACGGCTTCATTTAAGAGCTCGAGGACTTTCTCAGGTCCTTTCTGTCTCTTCCTGGCCAGCACTGCACTCAGGTACGACACCTCCTGGAGAGGTGGGAATACAAATAATATCAGTGGAATAAAATGATACATCAAATTTTAATTCTGCACTTTAAACAATGGGGAAAATTCTTCTCAGGTCTTTTAAGAGGTCTGTCTGTGAATGGTTTTGGATTGATGCTGAGTGCCTGAGCTAATACCATGTTACAGTAGTTATTATTATTTTTTTTAATTACAGAAATTTGAATTTCAAGATGATTTTGTTAAAAATATTATAATAAATGAAAAAATATGGGCTAGTGGTCTAAATATAATATGAATATCAAACCAATACAGTGTAGAAGCACTTACTGCAGATTTCCCAATGCTCTGCTGTATCTCACTTAAAAATTCCAACTGCTGTGCTGCATCTTCTAGCTGGTTTTCTGCTAACTGACATCTGATAATACCTAAAACATTGGTCAAGAACTGGTTACAAAACAAGTTACAAAACAAAGAGGTGAATCAAAATTATAAACATATGGAAGGATTGCATGGATAGCAATGAGATAGACAGACAGACAAGCAGACAGACAGACGCGCAGATAGACAGACAGACTGAGACTGATACAGCTATATCTTTACTTTATCAATTCATATCAAAGGCTCAAAACTGACGATGAAATATACAAACACTGCAATACAAATCTCTAAATACCTTTTTGGGGAATTGTCTTAAGTGGTGTATTTGCAAATATAAATTATTTTACTGTGATCCTAATAAAAGCCATTACTGTTATCCCTGACTGATATTTCTAAGAATCATGTAGCTTCATTTAACCTGTAGTAAGTTTTTCCTTGTAATTGGCAATTCTAGTTGCTGTGTTTCAAAATAAATTAAAATGTGTGACTGGTAATCTCAGATGACATGCTAAAAATTCAATTTCTCAACATTTGTATTGTAAACAGTGCAGAGAGGAATGTGGAATGCAGTTCTTAAGAGTCCCTCTTCTTTTTATTCTTATTATTACTATCATGCCACCACAAGTGATAATGTATCCACTCTCGCAACATCCACCTACCTGTCAGAGCTGCCACACTGGTCTCGTCCAGCTTCATGGCGTTCTTGTAACACTTCATGGCATCCCTCACCCTCCCCTGCATCAGCAACTCGTAACCCAGCTCTGTGACGTACTCCGCACTAGTGTTATCAAGGCTAACTGCCCTCTCTGCCAGAGTGTATGTCTGTTGTAGAACTAGGAGATTCCTACCACACTAGAATGGAGAATAATACAATTATATAACTGGTATGATCAAAGGGTTCTTGGAGTTGGGTGATTCTTATCCCACTTGATAGTACAATCATACAATAACATCAATGAGGCCTTCGTAAAGCAGCAAGTGATGTTTGTTTTGTTCAAAGAAGCCTTCATCTGTGGCAAACATTTTCACTTTATAAATTTCTAAAGAAAACATCAATATTTAGATCAGGCATGAGATGAACATTATCTTACCAGTCTACAAAATGTCTGTGCTATATCATTGTACAGGTGTGGGTTCTTTGGCTCAAACCTGTCCACCAAACCTATCAGATCCCCAATCTTTGTTGCAGCCTGAAAAAAAAAAAAAAAAAAAAAAAAAAAAAAAAAAAAAAGATTGAGTCTTTGGTGGACTTAATCATGGATTTAGTTCAAAAGGCTGGAAAAAATCATCCCAGATTGTGCATACATATGATAGATAAAAATTATTTTTAAAAAATACCATTACAAAATATCAAATACAGCCAGTGCTAGTCAATGTGATATAAGTCATAATTGTATAGACTATGAAATCGTTCAAATGCAGCAAAATAAAAACTATGCATACATTTTTATTGAATCTTTAGTTTACCATGAGAGAAAAATAATGCAAATACTTCATATTCCACCTCACCTCCTGTGCATTTCCCTCCCTGCAAAGTTGGTGAAGAACAATGTATCTGTGTGCTTCTAGAGAGTGATTGTCTTGAGACAGGGCCCTGCAATATAGAAATACAATATCATATATCTCTGTGCTAAGTTTTGTCTCTTCTGGCTTAAATTTCTTTTTAAAAGTTTTAAGTTAATCTTAGTGGTTTTAAGTTAAATTTATAATAACAGCATATGTAAACAGCACTGAAACGTCTGTGTAGTACATTTTTTAAATAAATAAATCATTATCATAACTAATAAGTTTCTTATTCATAAAGCATACCTGTGAGCAGTCTCTACAGTCTGTTCCCAGTCCTGCAGTGCCAGCTGAATCTTCATCTTCTCAATCAGTGCAGGCATGTAGCCAGGGAAGGACACAATGGCCTGGTTCATCAACTCCAGAGAGCCAGTGAAGTTATTCTTCAGAGAAAAACATTTGGCCTTCCCAAAAAGTGCATCTACTTCTTTATTTCCCTGGCTGAATATATCAAGAATGAAAATTGCGTATCAATAGCAAAAAGGATATTGATATCAGTGTAGTAAGTTACAGTTAAAAAGCACAAATGAAGTGTACCTTTATATAAAAAAAATGGTTTATTTTAGATCAGGATTAATCAATAATGGTGCAAAAAAGGGTACATTTAAGGTAAGAGGCAATCAGTCATAAAATTCACTTATTTTTGAAAAGAATATCAATTTCCTTTAAGGTGAAAAGCTCACTTTAAGACATCATCGAAATATTTCACAGCCTTCTTGACATAAGAATCCCTGCCACATAACAAGTCAATCCATCCCTTCAGGATAAGACCCTAGAACAGAAATATCGTATCTTAACTTTCTCTTTTATGGGGAGGATTCTTATAGCATACTTAGAAAAATTCTCAATGTCAACCCATTAAATGGTGCTTAAAAAGTGATGATTTATTGAACACTAAACGAGGGAGTTAATGCTACAAATAGGCAAAATGTTTAAGTAATTGCGGCTGAAAAAAATAAACATACAGACCACATAATACTAATAATAATAATAAAAACCCTCACCTCCTTGGAGTTAGCATTTATCTTCAGCATCCTATCAATGTACTCCCTTGCTTTGTCATACTTCTCTGAGTGAAACAAGAACAGGCCAGCAAAATACAGACCCTGAAACATGAATTATGATGACATGTTTGTTTTCATTTTCTTGTCATTTTCATCTACTGCAGATAAAGAATTATGTGTAAAAATTACTACTTACTTGCAATGACACATTTTGCAAGTTGAAAGAAACAGATAATGAAGAGGGTCAAGATAATTGCTGACCCTACTTTTGTTTTTAATGGTAACTAACTGAAACCGAAAATGTGGCAGCAGTCAAGAAAGTCATCAAAGAAGTAATAACACACTCTGTATTGCAGACTAAGTGTAAGTAAAAAAAGACAAAAAAAAAAAAAAGAATACCATCTCCCCAGCTTGTTTTCTCTCAGTTTTCAGTTTAGTGTCCAGCTCCTGCATGGCCTCTCTGTCCACAGTCTTACACCTCTTGTGGCCAAACATCAAAGCCATGTATGTACACAGGTTCAGGTCCCGCTTGTCCTTCAGGATCTCCAGCTCTCGCATGCCTTCCTGGACACGATCTGCAGATACAGGTTATTTTGGACGATATTTAAAGCACGACAAATAAATATGGATGTTTCTGATAATTAAAATTTTAATAATAATTTAGGCATCTTTTGTTGTTTCTTTTCCCCTATTTCAGTTTTTCATTATCTTCTATTATCTTTATTCATTTTATTTATTTTTAGGAGGTTGCAATCAATATCTCTATTTCACTGAATGCTATCTCAGAATATATTCAGTTCCTTTAAAAATATTTGCTCATGTCTTGTAAATGTATAAACAATGTAAATGAAAATGACCCCCCCCCTTCCCTACAGTTGGTAACTTGTTTACATTTGCCAAGAATAATAAAAAACTCTAAACTTCCCTGCCTGTATATTTACCTTCCAATAACATGCTGTATGCATGGAAAAACTTGAGGACAGGGTCGTTGCCATATTTCTTCATTCCCTCTAGTGCAGCATTCTGCATGTGTCTGTACAGCTTTTCACGGCAATAATAGTTGATCTTTGCCTAAAAAAGCAAAGGGAATTTTTTTTTAAATGCCAAGTACATTGTATATACAGAGCTTAAATTCAAATTACAATGGCACCCATAAACATGTACTTATGAAAATCGTAATACTTACCAACGTCACTGAATCTGTCTCAGCCATTTTCAGTGCAGGAGGAAATTATCAAGTTTAGCAAAGAAACAAAGTGCTGATAAAAATATATTTTGCCGATTCCAAATTCTGTTTTCTATTCGTATGTCACAGTGTCGGCGAGTGTTGCAGTCATGTTTTCTGTAAAAAGAAATACCAAATACATATAAGCGCAAAAGGGAAAAGGTGTGGTATTTTCACTGATTTTGAATCATTAAGCCCTTTTCTACATTTCTTAACGAAATCATTCATAATTTTAAAAAGACCTACCGAATAATTCATAGTAAATTCTGCAGCTTGGAATTTGAAGAAATACGCATGCGTGGAGGTAAACTTCCGTTAATGAAAGTTTACTTCCGCCGTAAGGGCATCGTAAGGAAAGCATGTATGGATTATTTNACCGCGACGGCGTGAAGACAATGTGCAAGTGCACAGGCACCATGTGCATGCTGAATAGAGAAGTGTACATCAAATTTACAGTTAATATTTAATTTCAAGAAATTGTGGTAAGTTACTATCACATTTCATGTGTTTTAAGGACTGATTAACTTATGTGTATTTGGTTATGGCGATTACTGATACGTATGGGCCAAAGCAATGTTTATGATGTACTCCTTATTTGGGTATGTTTTACATTTCAAGATTATTCAATGTATTTTTTTTTTAACAAACTTGAAATGATGCAAGTGAGAACATATCAAATATTCTGTGGAATGTATTGAAATAAAATGCAGTGAACATTTGCAACTTGTTAGGTAAGATTTATTGTATATCAGCATGTATTATCTGAAAAGAAATATATTTGCAGAGATGATGGCAAATTATTTCTGATTCCACTTGAATAAAACAGAAGAGCCATGTACGAAAGTAATGAGTCCTTTTCACAATATTATTGCTGATCACTTTGAGCAACTTACTTCATGATCTACTGTAATTTATTTCATCCAAGTAGCGATGTCATATCACAACCCACATTTAATCATAAGGACAATTATGTATTATTTTCCAATTCTGTTTAATCTGACAGACTAGATATTTTCTCTTGATAATTACAGTATATCACAAATCATAAATAATTTGGTAATGGCTCACGGTTAAATTCCTTTTGATAGAAAATACTTTCGTGATCATTTTAGCCATAGTGTCACTTAAAAAGGTTATAATAATTATCAACTTGATTAAGTCATGGTTCTCTCCTTTGTCATAATTTATGTTTAAAAAAATCAAAGGTTGGCACCATTCCTATAACTGTGTTGGAGAAGATGGCCAAACACCACCATTGTGTTAGTTGTGACACTTTGCCCTGCACATCTAGCACAATCACCCCTCATCATAGCTGTGCTTTCCACTCTTTTTCCTCAGGTAAAGGTTTGAAATAGCTTTCCACCACTTCATTAGTCACTTCTTCCAGTGTTGCAGGGTCCCACTTTGGACTCTGGTCTTTGTCTACAAGCACTGAAGAATACAATGACATAAAAACTTGAAGGTGGAAATACTGCTGCGCAACATTGGGTACAATTTCTACATTTAGTCCTTAGTAAACTTTCAGCCCTCTCATTCATTCTATACCCTGTCCTTCCACCTTTGTCCAATTTCCCCTCCCATCCCCTTCCTGGTATAACAGACATGCTTTACCTGCTCTAACTCCCTCGTAGAAGTCTTTCCCCCTCACACACCCCTGTGTCATCCTGTACTCCATCCTCAGGCACTCCTCCAGGCTCAGTTTACCACCCACTTGGAGCTGACGCAGGGTGATCTTCATGGAGGTTGGAGACTGGAGATAAAGTTCACATACTATTTTAATTTATAGGTGGTATTTCTATGACTGTTCTGACTAAATTATTGTGAATCATGATCTGTGCTCACTCTTGTCATTATTTTTGATTAGCAAAAGTTGCTAAAGGGTACAAATTTCTATTAGCATTTTCTTACTTCAATTAGCAAAATTTGAAAGTTGAAAAATACCACTACTCATCAGTTTTTATGCTAAACTCACATGATGAAGGAAGACACTGGACAGCATTACAACGCAAAATTAAATTATAAAACAGACTAAATGTGTAAGTTAATGTAAGTAATATTTTAACAAAAGCTTATGCATGCCTTTGCAATATTAGGTAGAAACCAAGATCCAAGCTTATACTGTTGTACCCAACAGGTCTTAATCACAGTCAAAGAAAGACCTAGTTCATATGTCACTTTATTCCCAGGTTGCATCAGCATATGCATTATATAATTATTACACAAAAACAATTTAAAACCAACATTTTGCACGATTTCATTTCAACACATTGCAAGTAATCTGAAAAAAAAAAATACAGAAAATGTACAGAGCTTCAGGGTGATGGGAGTAAGATGTCACATCTTGAAGATGCCAGTGTTTGAAAAGTAAAATATAATAACAAAGAAAAGGATAACATCAAAAATATTCCAATACAGCTGCATTCAAACTTTTAAAGGGATAATAACTCTTCGCATGATATCTATATTTCACTGTAAAAACCTTGTGAATAACTCATAGAAATATAATATATTCTGTTTTACCAAAAAACAGCAGTTATAGCTTTTATTCTGATATCTGAACTTGTCTTTAGACCACGTGACCTCCATTGATGTCTATACTCTGTTAAAATCTCTTAAGAGATTTTAACAAAAAACCAAACTTTTTAGAAAAAAACCAGGGACTAACTTTGAATGTAAAAATGGATTCATTAACCATTGGTAAGTATGAGAAAATTGTTGTTTACTCCAGGAAAATTCATTTTTTGGCCGAAACGAAGAGTTATTATTGCTTTAATCTAGCTGTATTAACATGATATGAACTAGAGGATCAGAGAGGCGATACCGCCTCCGGATATTGTACCACCAGCTGGAGTAAGCGCATTCGTATGGACCCCCCCTCCAAAAAGGGACACCATCACCAGTCTTGTGCTTGACAAGCTCTATAAGATGCAATCAATAAGAGTTCTCAAAATATGCAAAAAAATATAACTAACAATGGTACAATCAAGCAGATTTTCGAATTGACTTGCATTTTCCTACCCTTGATCACTCCTGTATTCTCTAGACAAAAGGCCTATTGGTTTTCCTTGAAAAGTG